ATGTATTATCTTCTGAGTCTTCAATAGCAAAGGCTGAGCCTTAAGCTATCCACTTCCCCTGTCCCAGACTGTAAGGTTATATGTGGGTTGTCTCAAGCTCATGCGCATGAAGTGTACTGTATGGTATTCACACAGTAAGATGCAGAGACAAAAAGATGTATCTCTAAAATTTTTGAGACAATATTTATATATGAGGAGGCATGTGATACCTTGGTATCACATGCCCATACTAAGTAGTTCCTATTTTTGGGGCATAACCCCTAACACCCTCCCTGCAGACCCAACCCAGGCTCAGAAAGTAAAGAAAAAGGAGAAAAGAAAGAGATGTGAAGAAAAGGGAAAGGTGACAATTTGTGCAAAGGTTAGGCTTCATGAACTAACACTTTGAGGGTTAGGCCTCAAAGTCCAAATGTAGAGAAAGGGTGTTGAACCCAATCCTTTAATCAGAGAGTTGAGTCTCCAGAGGGAACACTCCCTCACATTTTTGACCTATCCTCATCCTTGAACAGGTCATCAGTCATTTTGCCCTCCTCAGGCTCAGAGTCTTTAGCAGGGGGATTTCCCCTGACAGTGGATGCTCCCCCATGAGGACAGTGGGGAAGTCATAGATAAATGCCACAGAGGTGAATGTGGAGATGATCTGCTGATCATCAGCCCATAAGGGTGTGTGACCTGGAGGGACCTGGTTGATGGTGCAACCAATGGCTTGAGCCTGATGCTTGTACCACTCCCTCAATCTGACATTGCTTGGGGGGCAAGGTTTGGCAAAAGCTTCTTCAGGGGCTCAATTTTTGCCATGACCTGAGGGTTATTCTCCCCTCTATTTGCAACAATACCATTGACATACTCTTGACCTGCTTGTTGAGCCCATTGCAGTGCATCATCAGTGTCATACATGCTGACCCCATTAGCAGCGAGATACACTGCAATCAAGGCCCTATCAGCTGAGGTGGTGAACTCACTGTCCCAGGGATGTGAAGTGCCTTTGACTGGGCTGACTTCTGCCCAGTTGAGGAGGGACTGATATTGTCCCCTTACCACAAGTAGGCAAGCCAACTTGCACATCCAGACATTTTGAGCCCTATGGCTCCAGGGAACTGGTGCCAGGTGCTCATAGAGGAGGAACCCTTGTACATTGTGCAGAGATGGAGGATCAGCCTCTGAATTGGAGTCATCTGGCCTGCTAGATGTCCCCAGTACCCCTGGGAGCATGGCCACAAGTGTGGACTCACTGTCTTTGCCCCAGCAAGGGCACCTCTGTTCTTTGTCAATGAACTCCCTCCAAGCTTCAACAGAGCTGTCAAGGGGAGGGGCATTTGATGGTAGCTTGGGAATACCCCTAGACTTCCCAGCAGAGGGCTTGGCCCCTTTTGCCTTGCAAGGAGGTTGTGTCCTCATGGAGGACTGAGTTTGGGAACTCAGCCCAGGCCTTTGTTCAGAGACCTGTTGAGTCTCATGTGGTTGAACTGCTATGTGGTCGATGAGAGCAGGGGCAGGAGTTGATCCTACATTGGGTGCTGGAGTCAAGCCCAAAGGAGCATCTGCTACCCACTCCTGCAGCACTGGAGCACCTCCAGAGGGGCCAGACATAGGTGGGAGTATCCCCACAGCAGATGCTTGCCCCTCCTCCCCTTGGGGTCAGACTGCCTTCCCCTTTTCTTTGAGAGCCTCTCTCCTCTTGTGAGATTTCTTGGAAGACCATGCAGGGGGCTTCCATTTGCTCAGTGCAAGGGTTATGACCTCATTCAACCCCAACTTGCATCTTTTCCACAAGTTGAGGTAAGTTATAAGGTCCTGTGCCTTTCAGACACAGGGAGCCTTATCTTCTGGCTCCTTTAATGCTCTCACATAGAGCTGGTGGATATCATCTATGGTGTTGAAGAGGGCAATGGGCCACAGGATGCCTCCTTCAAATTGTATGGCCCAGCCATATGGTCTCTTGCCCACTGGGACCAGTGGGATGATGCACAACCTGAGGTTGCACTTCATGCTGTCAATCTTTTTGCCCTCATAGGCATAGAGATTGTTGTTGATCCTCATGAAGAGGATTTTATTCTTACCATCTGAGCCTTCGCCCAGACTAAGCACATGATGGGGCCATTCTGTCCCATTGAACTCAGGGAACATTGTTCCCTGTGCAGGAACAGAGGGTGCACCCTCATCCAGAGTCATTTGGTCATCACTGGGGATGTCCAGGAAGCTGACAGCATGGTTGGTCATCATCACATCCTCCATAGGAGGATTTTGAGGCCATCCATGCTGTGACAAGGGTTGCTCCCTCGAAATATGAGAACCAGCAGGCTTTGCCTGCACCCTCCCCCCTGAAACAAATGTCACAGTGGGGAGGGCTGTCTGGGATGTTGAGGGACCAGCTCCAGGCTGGTTGAGGATGCAGTGGTCAGGACCACAAAGGGATACAACTCATGTGCATTTGAAATCATGCACCTCCTGCTCAACTGATGTGGGAGCTGGACATGTATGATAGAGCTTGTTGATCTTGTCTTGTAGGTGATGCATCTCATTGTCATGGTCATTGAGGTTGTCCTCAAGGTATGCAATGTGATGACACATGTCATCATATGGAGAATGGCAGATGATGTGTGCAGCTTAGTCTGCAAGGTTGAATATTGCAGGTGTGAGGCCTACTTCAGAGAGGGCCATGCCCTGGGAGACATGCAACACATAAGCATTGCAAATCATGCAACTGGAATCATGATGCCAGATAAATGGCAGTTGTGGGTGGCACACCCAGAAGGGCCCTTGAGGGCATTTGTCACAATGATCATTGTGCTCTCAAGACAAGGTGCATGATGACATGACAGATGGGGAGTGAGCATGCTTCTGGCTGCTGCTGACCATATGCATGCTGTGCTGAGCAGTGGGGGACAGCAAGTGAGGAGCCTCACTATCAGGTCATGCACCTTGATGTGCAGAGAGCTCACCATGATCACATGTGGCTGACTCCCTGTAAGAACAGCATGGGGAGGGCTGGGGGGAGTGCAAGCTCTGGGTGCTGCAATGGTTATTGCAGGAAGACATACTTGGTGGTTTGTTGTGTTGGAAGGAGGTGGTGCTATGAAGTGGTATGAGTGAGGAAAAAGCAAGAGGAAATGGAAGGCATGAGGCATAATTAAAAACTTAAGTAATACTCAACATAGAAAAAACATGTGAATGAGGAGTGATTGGTGGCTGGCTACATTATACTATCTACCTTTGACAGAATGCAGTGTTTGTTTGTTTTTAGGCTTTTTTGATCTTTATCTTTTTTATGTTATTTTATTTTTATTTTTATTTGACTTTTTTTTTCTCTGAGTCCATTTGGTTCTGTTAGTAGTACATGACTACTCATAGCCACTAAGTGGCTACTATGCATTTGTATGTATCCTGTGCCTTGTGAGGCAACTGGTGTACATTCTGCATGCCTTGAAGTTTGAGGTACCTGTCTAGGGCCTCAAGCATCTTGCAGTTGGATGTTGGTTCCCATATGGAGTCTCCCAGATTCCACTTGACAAGGAAATCTACCTTGTTATCAGACCACCAGTGGGTGAGTACTTCATCCACTATCCATTTGTCATTGTTGGTCATACTGACATTGTAGAAGATGTGTGCATCATGTCTTGGAAACAGTAAGTCATTGTTTGGCTCATACTTGCACAGAAGCCCAACATGAAACATTGGGCATATGCATCTCACTTTTAGTTGCTCCAGTAGCTCAAGTGGATATGTGTCAGTTGCACTATCACAGTGCAGGACCTTCATCAGCCTGATGAATCTTGGTATGAGCATACAAGCTTGTCCTTTGGGCATGGTCAGGTTCTTTGTGGAGATACACCAAGTCTCCAACTCAAAGGTGAGTTCCTTCTGTTTGTTTCTTGTTGGTGTGGTAAATCTGCACCACCCTACTCTCAATTATGGTGTCATGCACCATTTCTAAATTTTCTAGTGCTTGTCAGATGAACATCCTTACTCCTGGGGATGACATAGTTGTCCCTTTCTCAATGTGTTGCATCACTATGGGCATATATCTGTATTTCAGTTTGAATGGGGTAAACCCCATAGAGCTGTTGATGCTTGAGTTTATTGCAAACTTGACCATTGGCAGCTTCAACACCCAGTCCCTCTGGTCTGGATGGACCATCAACCATAGCATCTGTGCTACATTGCATATGGCTCATTTGGACATGCTGTCTGTCTGCAGGTGAAATGCAGTTGACATTAGGAGCTTTGCTCCTAGCATTCTGTGCATCTCACACCAGAATGTCAATGTAAATTTTGTGTCTCTGGTAGCCCATACAAGCAGGCTACTTCTTTTATGAATATCCATGTGAGTTCCAAAGCTTGCACCTAGGACTACCCACAGGTAGTCATACCCTTTGCTCAGTGGGAATGGTCCCACAAAGTCCATTGCTATCAACCCCCATGGTTGTCTTGGCACAGGTAGACTGTGCAGTAATCCTGGAGGCCACTGATTGTTGGCCTTTGTTGTCTGACATATGGGGCAGGTTCTACAGAACCTGTCCACTTCTCAACTGAGTTTTGGCCACCAGCACCACCTGTGGATGTAATCCACTGTTCTCTTGGATCTGAAATGTCCCAGCATCCTGTGCACCTGGTCTATGACCTGTGCAATTATGTCATTGCTCTTGTACTTTGTGTTGATGCACATTAAGTATATTTCTTACACCAGTAATATCTTACATAAGCACAGTCATTTTGGCACATTGTTTTTCCATCATGCACCTCAGTCTTCTCCCAATAGAAGCCTGAGTATCTTCTCTTATTAGTCTGTCACTACTCAGAAACACCCCTTCAGAACTTTGCATGTGGAAGGCACAGTATTTCCTCTCCACCATGATTTTTCATGTAAAGCAAACTGTCTCTCTCCTCAAATTGAGGGTGATGTGACAGTTGTGCTAGTATCTTCATGAGCATAGGCTCATTCTTGTATCCCTTACAGATGACATCCAGGAATTCTGGTGCATCTCCATAGGTTATTGGTGAGGTTTGTGAGGCCTCAGCAGATTCAAATATCAATGGATCCTCCTCTGCAATTGTGAGAGGTGGTTCCTTGTCATTCCTTTCTGCAGCAAAGGCCATCTCCTGAGCCTCCAGGATGTGGTTCTCCCATTTTTCCTTCAGCTGGTTACTCTTACAAAGAGTTCCTCCCTGCTCTTCCATTGCTGATATTCTCATCAGAGACATTGTCTCCTCCTTCCCCCTCATAGAAACAGGATAGGCAATCTGCCACTCAGTTCTCTGAGCCTTTGGCATATACTATGTTCACCTCAAAGTGCAACATATAATCTATCCACCAGACCTGTTGGCTTGACAGTTTTCATTGGGTTTTGAGGTATCCCAGGGCCTCATGGTCTGTCACTATTGTGAACTTAAACCCAAGGAGTTTATCCTCCCATTTCAGTAAAGCTTCAATTATTGCAAGGGTCTCTCACTCAAAGGTCCTATAGTTTTATTGAGCATTGCTCAGCTTTTTTGACATGAAGCCTGCTGGTTGGCAGGTTTTCCATTTGGGTCCTTGTCATATCCATGACTCTCAGACTCAATCCTGGTCCAGTCCAGACCCCTAGCCCCTAACTCCGGTCAGGTCAGGTCCTTGTCTGGCCCAGAAAACCCAACTCTGGCCCTAGGAAACCCAACTCTGGCCCTAGGAAACCCAACTCTGGCCCTAGGAAACCCAACTCTGGCCTAAATAACTTGAGTCCAGTGTTTTACCCCTATCTCCGGTCCATTCCAGCCTCCTGGCCTTGCACTGCTCCACCCCAGTCCTCCCAGGTCCATGTCTGGGTCATCTGGACATAGCTCTGGTCTGTTTTCTGATGTTTGTACTATATTTGATCTAGCCTGCTTGTCTGAACTTTGCTTACTGTACAAACCTGTGTCCAAACCCAGTTATGCTGATCACCTGGACTTTGACTATTAGCCTTGGCACAGCCCCTATGGCTGTCCACACTCTTGCTAATCATCTTGCTAATAGCTTATTCACAAGTCTGGCTTCATGTTCATTATCCCAGACTGGCCTTGTGTATTTAACCCATGTACATACTTCATAGCACTCCAGTATTACCCTCAACTCTGTACTACACTCCAAGTCTACTCTATAGCTAAGGCCAAGCCTTAAGCTATCCCCAGCCCCTGTCCTGGACCTCTCCCCAGCTTGCATAAGGGTACAGCACATAAGCTGAGACCAAGGGAGGTAGATCCAACCCTGGACTGGCTTCCCCCTGTGTGCACTCCAAGACCAGTCTGTTTCCCACACTACCAGCCTTGTTCCTGTGCTCCCAGTCTTAAGTCCAGTCCTCCAGACTTAACCCCTGACCTCCAGCCCTAACTCCAGTCCAACCAGACTGGGCCCCTGTCTCCCAGCCCTAACTTTGGTCACCCAAACTTAGCCCCTGTCACCTGGTCTTGAAGCCCAGTCACCTGAGTGTAAACCTGCACTTAACAGTCCTTGCCTGTACAGTGCACCTACTCTGTAGAGTGATGCATCACAGATGAGCCATATTGGCTCTTCCTTCCTTGGGTCTATTGGCCACAGTACTGGGTACTTGCAAGCCAGGTCCTTAATGAAGCATCAGTTGTGGATTTCCCTCCACAGGAATGGAAATCCATTCCTTTGTATCCCAGTTAGTGGCATTGTGTATGGTGAGATATCTGGCATAAACTGTGCCAGGTATTCTATGAGACCAATGAACTGTTGAACCTTGTTGAGTGACTTAGGTACTCTCCAGTTCCTAATTCAAGACATCTTGTCTCTATCTGCATGCATGCCCTTTGTGTTGATTATGTGCCCAAGGCAGTCGAGTTTCTTGGCATATAAGTCACACTTCTCCCTTTCAAGAAAGAAGTTGGCCTGACATAGTGTTTCAAACACTGGAGGTGCTGCTCATGCTCCTCCAGTGTATTGCTGTAGATGAATATATTGTCAAGGTAGATGTATACAAAATGTCCTATGTGATCTCTGAAGATCACAGTCATAAGGCATTGAAATATCACAGGGGCATTACAATCCCCCTGCTGCATGACTTGGCTTATAAAAGTGCTGTAAATTGTTGAGAAGGCTGTCTTCCAGACATCTTCAGGCTCAACACATACCTGTTTGTATGCATTTGACAAGTCAATCTTTGAGTGATGCTTTGCTCTTGCAATGTCCATCCTGATCTGGTCCTGATCAGGGAAGGGGTTACATCCCTTATTGTGTTTTCATTTCTTTTATGACA